TTATTATAATTGATGTTTTATGGCTAACTGAAGTATTCAGTTTTTGCCATTACCAGCTCAGAAACAGGCTGACTCATTTATTTCTTTCCTTACACCAACACAATGATGATGATATAGCGAAAGATGTAAATAAACTTTTTTTTTTAACCCAAACAAGAGTTCTCCCAGAAGGGCTATTAGTCTCAAAACGGGATCCTGTGTTGAATTACTATTAAAGTCTGAATCACTTTTCAAATTGTCACCAAAATATTATCATCATGCATTATGTTTAAGGATATGAAATCACGAAGCATTTGCATGAATACAAACATGTTTTTCACGTTTGAAAAAACAGCGGGTCCTAGAACCATCAAATTTTGAAATGCGTATGTAAATGAGGAAAAAAAAAAAAAAAAAAAAAAGGCCGCTTTTGAGAGTAGTATAAAATCTGAAAAGCTTTCAGATTTCTTTTTCTTGTTATTCTTTTACTGTTTTAAATTTTGGTTTATACTGTTTTTGCACCTTTTCATGCAATTAGTCACCGTACTTCTCGATGCTATTTCTGATCGTATGCGTATGCTCCGTGTTGATTATGGGATGGATTTAAATGTTTTATTTCTATTTTACATTACGTACCTATATACATATTATAAGGTATTTCTTCCTCTTTCCTAGCGTACCTTCGTAGTGTAGTGGTTCTGCACGCTGGGCCAGTATTCCAGAGGTCTGTGGTTCGATTCACGGCGAAGGCGATTGCTCCTTTTTCATCTCTCCGGCGTTTCCAATTAACCTTTTCTATTAACCTTTAAATTTCAATTAACCTTTAATGTCTCTACAATATATATGTATCGCAACTGTTTCAAAATTTAATAGAAAATTTTCCGGAATGTTAGACTGAAATCTGATGTTTTCAGGTAGAATATTTTTGTTAAATTTTTTTATTTGCTCCGAAAAGGAAAGTTAGAATGTTGTAAGAATCGCTCTATAGTTCTCATACTAACGGATACTGTATGATATAAACTTTGTCAGCATTAAAAGAACGAGACAAGAGAAAATATGTTGTTTTCAGCTCTCTGTTGTAAAATAATTCTAGTGTATTTTCCTACTTTATTTTAAAACGTGGCAACATAATGAATTTTGACTAAAGTGCGTTACAACATATTTTTGAATAAACGTTTAAATAATTGTTTAGGCTTAACGTCAACATATCTCTAAGTATTAAAAACGTCTAAAGAATCCCGTTTCTTTGCTTTTAGGTTTCAAAATGGCGACAACTGATAAAAAATTTGCAGCATATTTTCGTAGGTCAAATTTGCCTCGATTTCGGAGAAGGGGTAAGTAAAATTATTATTCCAATATATATGTAAAATTTAAAAACATCAGCATTCTAATATTGTGAAAATTTAGTTAAAGTAATTTCATCTGATTACCAAGGTTATTTTTTACTCTAGTTTTTTTTAAATTTTGGTTTTTGAAACAATTTATTTGTTGGCTTTTCTAATATTGTTTAACTTTATATGAGGTGAATAAAAAGGACTACAGTTTCCTGAACATAATTTTTCATCTCCGGATTTATTAACAGGATTTAAAAATTTTTTATCTCTTTCTTTGCTTTCATCATTTACTTGCTGTAACAGTAACTGAAAGTTCTAATAATAAGTTGTTTACGTTTCAAAGTTTCTTTGTATTTAAACGTTCTTCTTCTAAATAATATTTCTAATTAATATATTACGCAATGATTTCTCATTTGGATTTATTAAATGTATTTTAGTGTACATATTTGGATTCGAAGTTGCTTTAAATCGTAAATTACAAATGTTTCAACGAGCTTGAGTAGCTTATCTAATGTGTATTACATTACCCACATTCGAGTTGGATTTTCGTTTATGTTAATTTGTTAAGTTTCCGTTACGCACCAGCTAAGCATTTTGGCAGGTTTATAATTTAAAACTATTTCTAGTAATAAGAAGAGTTTATAGACACGCATACGTACACAACGATAGCCCAGATGGCACTATCACCAGTTCTCGGCAAAGTACCGTTAATTTAAATACCCGCAAGTCGCGAAAGTTCATCTGTCGTGTAAGATACGCCTTTATGATGTGTCGCTCAAGAAGATTTAAATAGAAAGGAAGACTAAATAGAATACTAAAACTAAAATACTGAAAGACTAAATAGACTTAAATAGAATTTAACCTTCCTTAGAATCTGTGATTTTTTTCAAACAAAGCAATTTTTCGCTAGATTGATAATCTAGTACTACTAGATTCTACTACCTACCTACTAGATTGATAATCTAGTAGGGTCTGTAGGTTCACTGCTGTTTTCTGCTATGTCTAGAACCTTACAAGGTTCTAGATATACTCTGCAACATCAAATGGCGGGAAACTTGCAGTTAAATGCATTCTTTGGAAATGGTCAATACTCATCTGTCATTCAACCGTCTCTTCAACAAGAATGTTGCCCAAAATGCACCAATCATGCAGCAACTTCTTCAGATTTTCAACTTCTTCAGATCTAACTTCAACAGATTTTGCGCAAGATGCAAAGGTGACCGATTTTTCATCCACAACAAGTGCGGAGAATTTTCGTTCCAGTTTTCATGGAGAACACCTTGAGGGGTGGATCCGAGGATCTTCCACCTTTCTTTCCCGCTACCAAAACTCTGCAGAAGACTGTCGATTCGCCAGTATTTTAAGTGCCCTTATGCTGAACATGTATTAAAATATTCCCGTCTTCTCCGGGGGATTCGAGTAAGATTCAAGGATATGGTAGCCAGCAGCGCTGGGCATTATACGATTTAACCTAATGGAATCTATTTCGATATCAAGCTGTCTCTCTTCATGTTACATTTATTTTTCGCTTCGTTTATTAAATTGTTTAGATGTGCATCTGTATTATTTTTTCATTATTTTTTATGAATGTCCTTAAAAATTTTATACTTTTTTAGTGCATAGAAAGGTGAATTGTTTTACAATAATATGAATAAAAAGCTATTTTAATATATTTATGAAGATGTAAAATGTATGGCAAATTTTTGTGTTACATATTAAATACTACAAGTATAAGGAAGAATTACATGAAAAAATGTAAAAGAAATATGCAAACGATGTTTCAAGTCAAATACTTCAAGAATATTGAACATTTTACCAATTCTGAGAAAGAGCAACTGATAATAAGCTCTAAATAATTATAAGAGTTTGTTATAGTATTTGAGCGGAAATGTGCATTTAGATTTTTAAAAATTTATTATATGTATATTTTTTTCGGATTTATGAAATTTTGATTAACAAATTGGGCGATCTAAAAGAAGGGAGTTTCTATTCACTAAGATATTTAAAAATATATTTAAAGCATAAAATATTTATGTTTTAAATTTAATTAGAATACTCAACAATTTGTAAAACTCAATTCATTCGGGAAAACATAATATTCCTGTTTTTCTAATTTAATCAATTGACTGGGGATTTAAAAGAAAGGTAGTGCCACTGCTCAAAATAAAAAATATTTTTATCTTCCACTCACCAGTGTGTTGCCCTTCGCCAAGGCTTAAGACATTTAAATTTTTTTTTTCAAATCTAATCTGTCTGTTATTGATTAACAAACTAAGCAATTTAATGGAAATCAACAGAGTGCTTCTTTCCCATTATCAGTAACTACAGGCTGGAGTCGTGATATTATACTAACTAGACAGATAGTAAAATAAGTAATGAGATGTAAGCAAATATTGGTATCATTTGAAAGTTTATGCATGTACTAGTTGAAAATATGTGCTAAAATCTTGAAGATTGTAAATTTAAACGATTTATCAGGATATTTATAGAATATAATCTGTTTAATTCTAGTATACGGTACACACGAGATTTGGCGAAATTCGGCAGGTGATAAATTTTAAGCAGATAAATTTTTTGTGCTGGTGACAGTTTTCAGAATCACGCCAAAGCCATATAGTATACTAAAATTTCATCATAGTATATTCTTCTTGGTTCGAAGGAAGAGAAGATCTCCGATTTTAAATTCAGTTTCGAACATTTTCCATTTTCTGTACAAACAGCTTCAATCTGAGCTTAAGTTTTTAAACTCCGAGGAAGTTGCAGAGGGTACTGTATAGCTAGAAGAATTAGCGAGACTGAAAGGTAAAATGAAAAGAACGCAATATAGAATGCTTAAAATGAAATATTCTTTTTTAGCATAATCATTGAACCAAGTTTCTCACACAGGTAAAAAAATAAATGACTGAGCCCTATTAAATATCGATTTCAGAAGTGTACTTCTTTTTACAGAGAAAACTTACGGTCGCCCACCGGTATTTGTAAGAAGTATTTCCTTCTTTGGAGTAGTATGCCTTGTAAGTATGCCATTGTCTTAACAATGTTTAATTATAGCAATAGAAAGGGCTAGCAATTTAAAATGTACTATCTTGAAGAAATTTTAAAGTAGTTTGAAATTTTCGAGAAAATTCGCTTTGACTTGTATTTGGTCTTAAAATTTAGGAGAGGGGATTTTGAAATTTTCTTTCATTCTCTTAGTATAGATTTTTATGTTAATAAGTTAGCAGGTTTCATTAACTGCAACTGTGTCTATGTGCATTCTGTAAATGTAAACGGCAAATAAAAGTGAAATATAGTTTGACACAAGATTTCTGTTGACAGGGTTGTCTCCAAGCAAAACAAATGTAGGCAACTGTTTAGGGCGCCTATTTTCGGAAGATGTCAGTTAAGTTGTTCTTGTAAGTGACACTTAAATATTTACTTTGAATTACTAATATGTTTAATTTATACAGGGTGTCAAAAGTATTGGTAACTTATTTTTTTCTTAATGGCGGGCCCAAACCGTCGGCGGACATTGGCCACTACTAAGGCAAGAAGAGGCGGTGGTCACTTTAGTATGGAGGAACCTAATAGGTGGGCAATCTTTGCCTCCTACGAAGGGACAGACAAATACAACCATGCCTTTTGCGGGATTCGAGTTCGGACCCTTCGGTATCGCAGCCGGCTTCCCCAATCACTATACCGTCTGGGCGGCGTATTGGTAACATAGGCTGCCGAAATTGTTGGTGCCTGACCTGTCTGTTGAGAAAGTCGGTCCAAAACTTTATATTTACAGGCTTAATTTTGGCGAAACTTAATTTTCGCCTTTTTGCCTTAGAGCTAAGAACAACTTCGAGCAGCCTTTTAAGCATCTTTGAGGAAAAAAATTGCGTAAAAACAAGCAGTGCATTTTTCAAATGACCTGTTCCAGAATTTCAAAAGTGCGATATCCTAGACAGACAGAAAACTGTTTCGGAAATGGTGGAAGTAAGCTTTTCTGAAGATTGTAACTTTCTGAAATATATATAAGATTTAGTTTCGGGGAGGAAGGGTAAGAGAGACATGATTTGTAGATGAACAGAAGACTTGCAAATGATGATATGTAATCTTGAGTTAAATATGTATTAAATAATTCCTGTAACTATGCTTTCAACTTATATTAACATACAATGAGACATAAAATATTCTATGCATGTTTGCCAATCTTTTTCATTATAATTATACTAGTAAAATGTTAGAAGGTATTAAACTAAATTTAAGTTCCCATTATGTTATTTTAAACTAATCGCTAAATTATGATATAAATAATTTAATTTGATAAACTGTTGACATATGTAAAATAAAATGGAAAATTGTTGAACAGAATGGAAAAGATTTTAAAATTACATTACCTAGATTCAAATATTTATTGTTTTCAAACTGCGGTTTATTTATTTGAATGAACTGCTTTCAGTTGCGAAACAAAACAAAGATTCCTTGACACAAGAAAAATTATCAAATATATTGTCATTATTTATTAAATATATTTCAAGACTATTACAAATTCCAATCCTGATCAAATAAACGGGTAACCAAGCAGTCATGTCCAGCTGCCAGTCGGAAGAACGCAGCTACTGTTCCATAGGCCGTCTGGTGATCAATTAACGCACTTAAGCACAATTAACAAGTCTAAAATTAAGGGTAACATGTTCAGTTCACAAGATCATGATAATTAAATTTTACTTTAAATTATGATGATTGGTTTGGTTTGGTTTATTAGATTACGGCAAAGCACTCAGGGCTATCTGCCTTAAGGGAGGGGATGCCTTCGTGGAGGACTTTTTAAGGGAAACTGGCTCGTATATACGTTACACATGGGGAAATCCACGAAAACGCCCATGCAGCCAGCCCGTTCGCGGGATTCGAACCTCGGACCGAAACTACCAGTGTTCAGCGACGTTACCGCTCGGCCGCTGGTGGGCTTAAATTATGATGATAGTTTACACAAGAATAAAACTAGAAATTTTAATATTATAGAATGTTTTATAAAATGTACATTAGTACCTATTACTGTATTACACCTATTATAGAATGCAGAAAACTCATTTTATTAATTTCACGAATGGCTTAAAACGACTTGAAAGCGAAGATGAAAAAGGTAGAAATAAAATAATTTTTTGCATTATACCCTGTATTACGCTGATGAGCAATATGCTTTCTCAGTCTGAAGATAGACTGTGAATTTATATTGCTTCCTTATAAATATAGTGCGCCTCCAACTGGCACTGTACCGGTTAGGGGCGCATCACTATACTTATAAGTCTACCACTATGGTTACCAGTAATAGCCATTAGCAGCTCGAACCATAGGGATTACTAACCACTTTAGTTAGTAGGTTAGTGCCGCTGGTTAGTGCCGCTATGGTTAGTGCCTCTGATTGCCGTGCCGAAGGGCCCGGGTTCGAATCCCGGAGAAAGCATGGATGTTTGTAAATGTATAGCCGCATATTTAGAGTGTAAATGTATGGCGGCACTCTAAATATGCCGTGAGCCGAAAGTCCTCTCCTGTGGTTCGGCGGAAGGGGAGAGGGTGGGAAACCTTAGGACCCGTTTCCCTCGGGGTGCTCTTCATCCAAATTGTACTATCACGTGTAAGGTGCTTAAGGCTATTGCCAACGAAAGGCGTATCTTGCACTCCTTACCACGAGATATTTCGTGGGCTTGGGCTGATGATTCTGTCAGACAAGTGAGCTTAAGTAACAACAGTATACTGCTCTCTGCGAAAGCATATAGTATTTCAAGGCTGATGTCATACTTCAGCTCTTCAACCGATGTAAGTTATATTGGAAGTTAAAGTATATTTGCTACCAGCAAAAATATAGTGCTAAAGATTTTATGCCATATGAATTGGAAGTAATTTTAAATTTTTATTTCTGGCATACAAAAGCAGCTAAGTGGAATCAACAATATCTGTATTTCAGATGTTTCAGTTCGTATAAGGGGAAAACGGATTAGTATTAAGTTTATTAATTTACTTGCTGATAAATCATCGAAAATTCTGTGAATAGCTTACATTGTAGAGTCATTAGATTAATTGGAAGCAGGCAAGATGAAAAATTAGCAACCGCCTTCGCCCGGAATCGAACCACGGACCTCTGGAATACCGGCGCAGCATGCTAGGGAAATGGGAGAAATACCATATATACTCCCCTTTTTAAAGGGCGACTAGGGTTTTAGGGCACCTAGTCGCCAAATCATGGGTGCGGAGAATCATCATCCACAACCCTTTTTCGGTGGCCGCCACTTGTAGAGTTCAGGATTTTTTTAGGCAGAAAAGATGAAAATAGCAAACCCTTCGCCGGAATCGACCGTGGACCTCTGGAATACCGGCCCAGCGTGCGGAACCACTACACCACGAAAGACGCTAGGAAAGTGGGAGAAATACCTTATAACATATAAAATTAAAAGTTAAAAATCATTCCATCCGTTTATTTATTTACTTAATTACATAAAATGTATTGTTTTTTAATTTTCTTTTTGTGCAGGTTACTGGAGGATGGTTATGTTCGAAAAGTTTCGAACCGTTTACACTTGATGGAGAAGCTATCAAGTACCGTCTTCCAGATCGTTTGTTGCTATTCAGCGGATCCATGCTCCTCGTAACTGGTATAACTTCCATCTGGACCGCAGGAATTCTGATCAAGGTTGCTATCATGACTGTAAGCATTTCTTTTAATTCTTAAGCCGTTATCATTGTCGGCAACATATGGAGCTCACATCGTTGAGAGAAACCTGCTAAACAACTCATTAATAGCAACTCATTAAGGAGTAGGATCTCTACGATATTAAGCTCCTGTTTTCCTTTTCTTCAGTTCTGACTGGCTTAGTTGCTAAGTGGAACTTGTTCCTAGGAGGAATTTGTTGAATCAGATCTAAAGATGCTGCTCCTATAACATAATGTTTTTCAAAACTTGCTTAGCTTTAATCAAACTCTAAAATATATTTAAAAATTAAGAATTAATTTTAAATTAAAGCGTGCACACACATGCGTAATGAAGGAAAAATTGATTAAAAATTGCAAAATAAGCTTTATTAGGAATTAATGGAGGAAATTATTAACAGTAAGAAAATGAACTTTAGGCTTTGTTACAAAGAGCTCAGCAAGTACATTGAGGTCAAACAACAAAGATCGCCTTGCGTCTGTTCCAGTGAGGCACGTCATTTTGATATGAGATAGACAATATAAAACCATCGTTTTGATCCGTCAATATACAGTTCGAAATGATCAACTGCCAAGAAACTGAAGCGTGCTCACGCAAAAATTGAATAGAAACCGTGCTACTCAGCATGGTATTATTCCCGAATTTTAAATCTGATGCGAAGCACATTGGGCTGCTTGCTCGAAGATTTGAAGTTTCATCATTGCAATAATGCTGGTTACAGAAGATAAAAATATCGACAGCAGGCGCACCATCTGCGTTAACATTCTTGCAGTGATAATCAAGAACTTCCTTTTCTCTAATACCTACTGATGTCAGATGAAGCAAACATTTTATCTCTGGTTAGGAGAATAAGCAAAATCTCGGACACTTTACTTGTAAATGTACAGACAAGCCAAAGTGTTTTTGTTTGTTGCGAAACTGAGTGGAATTCTTGGTTCCTTTTTTAGGATGAATACTGCTGGACGTGTAATAATTATGAATGCCGACCTCTACTGTGAAATTCTGCAGAATTTCCTGAATGCAATATTGCACGCGAGAGAGCTGGTTGATACAGTTTGAGTCAAATAGGCCATACAGGGTGCGCCTTTGCATGGGTATACTTCGACAGGCATTTCTAAATCGTCTGATTTCTCGGTTTCGGAATTTTCCTTAATCATTCCACTTAATTTTACAGCTCCGAATTACTTCCACTAGCTACAGTAATCTGAAAGGGCGAATATTTGCAAATCGTTTGCAGACGATTTCATACGAGACCTCGTATGAAAGCATATAGTATTTCAAGGCTGACAGCAGAAATGAAGTCTGCTGTCAGCCTTGAAATACTATATACTTTCATACGAAGCGTTGAGATGCATCATAGAAGCCTTCCTGCATTGCCCCGAAAAATGCATCCAAGGAATCTATGTGCATTCTATTATTTCAAACTGCTAAAGTTGCGACAGTCATTCATCATCTTTCATGTAGTTACTTCAAGCCTTTCTGCTGTTTAATACTAGTAGATATAATATGCACCATCCTTTCTTTTATTTGATTTACAGTAACAAGTAAGATAAATTAGTCATTTTATCACATTTTAAATAAATGTCTAAAATTATTCAGTTACTTATATCTTTTTTAATAACTAGCTCATTTTTGGTGGTCAGGGAAATAGTTCAGTCTGGTCGTGAAAAATCAAGGAAAGTGAAGGATATTAAAAGCAGAATTTCAGTAGGAATCCAGATGTTCTCGTTAACGGATAAAAACGGCACTAATGAAAGTCTTCCGTAAAAGCGAGTATAATTTCTTATTTTAATTATACACCTTACGAAATGGAATTAGCCACAGAAATATACAGTTTTTGGACAGAACCCATTTTTAAACTTCTGTTAAAAATAACCGTTGAATAGTTAGCAGTTAGTTAGTCATTGAAGCAGACAGTTAAATATTTTAACGGAGAGAGAATTTCACGCTTTGTTAAGAACTAGAAAAATAAACGGTGCAGAAATTTAATACTTAAAATGGTATGCGGAAAGAATAAAAGGGAGAATAAATGCATAAATTAATTTTTAAAGCTATTTGACAGTGGAAGCCATGTTTCATTACCATAAGCAAAACATGTACTTTAAAAACATGTCACTCCCACTAAATATGAAGTTCAACGAGACACGCAGTGTTGTAATTATCCTTCACCTTTTATTAATGCCATTTTTGAATCCCCTTTTGAACTTTTCCTTTTCTTTCCTTCACAAAACGTTAAAATCTTAAAAAAATATTGGATTAACCGCTTAGAAATATAAAATTCTTCACTTCGGATCCGATGTTCGACCGGCTTATATTAAGGCGATTTGGGGATTAGACTCGCTTTCGCTTTCTCTTTCCTTGATCACCTTCTGCCCTTTTGTTTTGGTTTTTATCCGAGTAAGTTCTTTACCAGTAGAAGCTTCTTTTTATTTCCCTTGCAGACGATTAATATTTATTTCTTGGCGAACGGACTTGCTGATTGATGCGTCCGTCTAATCCCGCCTGGCTGGGTCAGTCGACTTTTGCTTGATAGGAAGTGCATCTGATTTATGGAGAAATCCATATTTCATCTCTGATCCGTCAACTCGGGAGTCAGAACCCACAAGTAGTGGAAGGCCACCTGACGTGAGAATGCAGCTTTATTCCTCCAGGCCTAAATAAAATGGAGGTTCATGGGGTTATAAATCTGTTTGAATCACAGGAAGACAGTTGAAAGGTAATTTAGCAATCGTTTCCTGTCGGCTCTGTTAAAACCGCCAGATGTAAGTTGAAATATAGTTATTCACGTAACAAAACAACAGTGACGAAGTATTACAATTCTTCCAAGAGCAATTAAGAAAATGGAAAGAGAAATAACTTGTAATCAACAGAAAAATATTATTCACAGTGTAATCTGGAGAAAACGTTTATATGGTTAAGTAAGTTAAATTGGTATCTAAAACAAAAAGAATACGCTGTAACGGAAGAAAAAACGCAATTAGTTACGAAGAAACGAAATTATAAATGGCATTAAAGAAAATATTTAAAACAAAACGGCTAGTTAGACCCTTTTGCTTTTTATCGTACAATGTTTGTATATTACGGATCACGAACAATTAAACTACTGTTGTGAATAATTCCGTAATAGATATCACTGCTGTGATATCTGATATTACTGCTGTGATCCCATTTACGGTGATGATTCGTGATTGTAATTTTTTCAGTCGTTCCGCTATAAATAAGCCTTTTTTTTAAAGCAGGGTCTAGTTAATTTGCTCCCGATCAATCGAGATATGACTGTAAAATAATGTTACGAATTTTGTATGTATGTAATTAATATTAGTGAAACTATACGTGAAATTGTTGTATCTTTTATCTAATGTAACATCAAATGCTTGAAAGACACGATGATCTGAAGGAAAAATATCATTACAGGGGGCAAGTCTATTTAACTTTGAGTAAATGGCTATCTTGCTAATTTGGCGAGATATCGCCAAGCTGGCAGCTGTTTTAATGACTAATATTTGTTTCTAAATTTGGCGAGATATCGCCAAAAGCTGACAAACTAAACGACCGTTTGGCAAAATTTTGGTCCAGTCTCTTTATAATTGCAATGGGTATTGCGAGTGAATAAATGTAATTGATCCCTATATGTAACTGTAACCGTATCCGGCTCTCATATGCCTTCCGGTAATTTCGAGAACTGGAAGGTACTAGAGATTTTTAGGCAGACAGAGGAAAACTACATAAGAACGAATAGAGCATCAGTTTCTGAGTTGTTAGTTCAGAGCGACTTCGATGTATTGAAATATCCTTGAGAGCTTCGCCTATTAGATGCGCTTTGCATTTCGTTGTTTTTAACGTTTTTTTAGTAGTTTAGAGTGTAACTATTGATCTGAGAAGAGCTATATGAGTAAATTTGTGGAAAGTTCCAGAATTGCCAATTGTTTCTTTTGGTAAAAATAGATTTTATCAAGCGCTCATTGGTTTTGTGTGCGTTCAATCTATTTCGACCGCTTCCGAATCCTTTGAATGATTTTTTTGCCCCTGCGTGATGTCTGTGTTTAGGCGCAGAGGACTCATTTTTCCAAAACAAATCGTAAAATGGACCTAAAATGTACTCAAAAGGGTTTTTTTTCACGACGGCTTTACGTACATACGTACGTATGTATCTCTCATAACTCAAAAACGATTAGCCATAGTACGTTCAGATTTTGCATATTGGACTGCTATAACATCTAGTTATGCACGTGTCTCCCTTTATTATTGCGATGGACAGAACCAAACGTATATATACATACAGATGGAGGACAAAATAATAGGAATATCTGTGAAATAATGGAAAATATTTATTAATAAGGGGTTGGACCACCCTTTGACTGAAGTACAGATTGAATGCGACGTGGGATATATGCATAATGGTCATGGACAATATTTAAAGGAATATTAAGCCATTCCTCCAGAGCGGTTTCTAATCCCGAAAGTCTGGATAGAGGTGGAAATCGGGAACGAAGTTTGGACTTCCAAATATGCCCATAAATTTTCAATAATATTCAAGTCTCGGAGACTGAGGGGGACCAAGCGAGATGTTCAATTGCGTCGCCATGTTCTTCGAACCATTCTTGAATACACCTAGAAGTGTGGATAGGGGCGCTGTCGTTTTGAACGACAGCGCCCCCGGAGACTGAGGGGGCCAAGCGTCATGGTATTCGAACCATTCTTGAATACACTTAGCAGTGTGGATATGGGTGTTGTCGTCTTGAAAAAGCGGTCGCTCTCCTAGGGAATACAGTTATGGACAAAAGGATGGACTATGATCCCCTGGAATGCTTAGATAGTGATTTGGATGTGATCCTCCCATGCAGAATAACAAGTGGCCCAAGACTGTGCCAAGATATCCGAACCCATACCTAATGGTGCCACTCCCATGCTTCACAATCGGCAAGAGACATTCAGGATGAAACGCTTCTTTGGGCGTTCTCCAGACATAAACGCGTCCAATCGTCTGAAATAGGGTG